AGTGTTTTTTTCCAAACCAAATTGAATCATCTTCCGGATCCGGAAATAGAACGCGAGAGGACGTACCGCGTGTGTTTACAGCTGTAAGTTTCTGTTATATGTGTGTAAGACACGAACTTGTCATAGCTGATAAATACCTATCAAATCTTTAGTTAACTGGAGTAATGACGAACATCCCGAATGTAGAACTATTTTGTTTTTCTGTAGAACTGGACAAGTTCAAATATGTGGCTAAAAGTTAATTTTTTTCCTATTATGAAACATAAACCAAATGTTTTAAAACATGCTTACTATAACGTCCAATTGTCTGTCTTCCCCGTAGCTCAGCTCAGTAAATTCTTTAGTTTTTGACTGTGGCTCTACCAGCTAATTGGTCTGTTTTTCTCAGGTAAATATTTCCAACTAGAAGCAAAGCTAAGAAGATGGAGGAAGCAAAGGAGGAGGAAGTTTCATCCAGTGCTGTCGGTCTCAGTCTTTGTGACTCTGTGCCCCTGCTGTGGAGGATGGAAGACATTAAAAAGTTCCGCTCCATGGGTTTAGTTGGTTCTTTAGTGGGAGCTCTTCCTCGAGCACCGCGGCAGAATGGTCGAATGGGTCGCCCTCTGCTGCTGCTACCGGAAGAGGAGCGTTTGCTTAGTGAAAAACAGGCTGCTGCTGCTCTACCTGTAGCTAACCAGGCGAGTGAACCCATCACTGACCATTAACCAGCTGAGTCAATCTGAATAACCAAACCCGTAAACTTGACCTTTGAGGGTGATTGGACAGGTCAGTCGGCCTTGTTCTAATCAGGTCAAAGGTGACGGTGATCCACTTCCTAACTGTAATTGTTGTGTGATTTGTCATCAGAGAGCTGAAGGGGTGGAGGAGCTCCGTCAAAAGGTGGAGCAGTATGAAGCGCACCTACAGCAAAGTTATGAGGAGCAGAGTGCTCTTGCCCTGGAGGACAGGAAGGCTGCAATGCTGCGAGCAATGACGTCTTCAAACACACGTGAGACCATCGACCTAATGGTGTCTTTAATCTGATAGAATCAGTTTCTTTAATGATGATACTCTGGTTCAGACACTCAGTCATCAGAAGATGCCTGGAAGCACCGCCTGGAGACCCTGGACCAAAACTTCTCCTTCCCTCAGTCCGCTATGGCGGTCCAGCTGAGCACAGCGAGGGCAGGACTGACCTACTACCCCCAGGACCGGGCCTTCCTGCAGGCTGACTGGCCAACTAGGCAACGAGATGGCCCACGCTGTGATGCCAGGTACCGGGTGTTCAGAGACCTGAAAGGGCGCGGCTTCTATCTGACATCAGCTGGGAAGTTTGGAGGCGACTTCCTTGTTTACCCAGGTGGGCCCCACTCTTCTGTGATTAAATTGCAGTATTGTCCCTATTTCACTGCTTTCTCTGCGGTTCTCTGCATCCAACAAAGCCTGGATCATTTCTTGTGCGCGCTGCTTAATTTCCACATCCAAGTAATGATCTTAATAAAGCAAATTGAGTACAGTCCATTTTTATAACAAATCTCCCCTTTCTGTTTTTGGCTGTGTTGTTTTGATGCGTTCCTAGTTTTATGTTAATGTGTTGACTTCACAGCAGTCCTATTTACAAATAGGGGGCAGTGCTTCACCAAAGTTTTGGACACTTCCATAATGATTTCTAATTTTTCCTCTCATATGTCTTCAGGAGACCCTCTGCGTTTCCACGCACACTTCATTGCTGTGTGTCTTGATCTGGAGGAGTCCATGTGTCTGCTGGATGTCCTCGCTGTGGCACGACTGGGATCTAATGTGAAAAAGACTGTCCTGCTCTGCTCCTCAGTAAAGGATGGGACAGTGGTGTACACATCACTACAGTGGAGCGGGATGGCTTAATAACTCTGGACCCTGTGCAGGGTCTGGATCCTATGGAAAGACTCAGCACCAGATCTCTGAAACGGAGGACAGAAGCAAGACTGGACTTAAGATTCAGCAAAGATCATGGACTAGACCTGAACCAGAACCAAGACCAAATGCTGATCTCTGTCAGGTACAGAGTCCAGTACCTTGCCTAATGTCGCAGAGTTCAGTGCCTGCAGAGTAATTGTGCTGTTTCACAACATAGTAGTCACTCCTCATGTGACCAACAGGGGGACAGAAAATGAACTGTTATGATTCTGATTTCTGTCCTGCTGTGTCCTATTGTTGTGATGTCAACAATTGCTGTGTTTGTGTGTAACCTTGCCTTCTGCCCATTCCATAAATGATGTCTGTCCACTGTAGGACCAAAAACAAATGGAGAAACTCTGTTGTTGTCAGAAGTTGTGGTTTGAGTATAAAACAGGCTGCTTCACTCTGAATATACAGTTTCAGTGAACCGTCTCCTGATGATCGTCTGGTCTCAATCACAAGTCCCAGGTCGGCTTCATTACAGTGTGACATTTTTTTGTTTTTGTTAATCATTCTTATAAGCAGTTGACTGTTGATTGCTGTGGAGTGTTAAAATAATTTAATTAATGAGATAAAACACAGGAAACCAAGTTAGAGATTATGTTTATTGTGACTACAATTATTGATCATTTACATTTTAAAAGTATTTTTTTGGGCCAAGTTTTTGAGTGAAGCTCTATGAAGTTAGGAGTTTATATTCTGAGGTTCTAGGAGTCTGGGTTTGCTTTATAGTTTGGGAGCTCAGGGCTCTGGTGTTCAGGGTCGTGGTAGAATGAGAGAGTCTTCCTAGCTCTAGTATCCCAGTTATGGTTGAAGAACTTATTTCTGGATTTGGTCAATATAGGCAGTTGCTGTTCTGATTTTCTGATATGCCCATGTGTCTTTTTGTGTTTTTTTTTAATCCACTTCAGTACATCAGGTCAACAGCACCCCCGTTTAACTCAGACTCCTTGTTCTCCCTGAAGGGGAACTGTATTCCCGTCAGACGGATCAAGAGAATGTTGAGTCCATGGAGTAGGAAGACCAGGAAAAGGAGCCAAAAACAGCTGTCGTAACGTTCACTGTGTGTCTGGAACGTGTAGGTGACCTCGTTAAAGTTGGCGATTCGCTCGGAGAGACGGTGCAGTTTCACCTCAGAAGCAAACAGGATCATCACCAAAAGGCTACAAGTACCTGAGGGATTGGTACCAAGATTGTGAGATTCTGATAGCAAGATATAAATATTGATAAGCTGTTGTAAATACTGGTAATCAGTTGTCCCTTACAGCAGATGAAGCTCCACAGGTAAAGTCCCATGGGGCCTTGCAGCGTCTCATAAGGTCGACCAAAGGCATTGAAGAAGAAGAAGCCGGTGGCCACAGAGGAGAAGAGAATCACAGTGACGCAGAAGACAATCACAGACACGTGGAGGGCAGCAGGAACAGCGCCGAGGAGATCTGGGAAAACTGGAGAGGAGGAGAGGCAAGGAAGATGACACGTGCGATGAAACAGAGAAGAAATTGTTGTCAAGTTACTATTTTTTCACTGTCCTTGCAGCAAAAATGTTCATTTGTTGTTTAATCAAATCCAGTCAGTCAGGAACATCGTTGGTGATGTGACCACAGCAGACTCAGAGACTCTGGACTAAAGATCTGACATAGGTGACATTGTTGTCATCCTATTTATTTTGGTCTAATTAATCAGATTATGTTTTAATAACATCAGTCTGACCAACATTAAAGTACAGCAGCACAGAACCACACTGTTCAGATAGGACCAGTGAATGAAGAAGAGGAATTAAGAACTAATAAGATACTTACATATCTTACAGCCAAATACAAATGGGACAAAGACAGAGTACTACAATATACAGTATTTATGATTCAAATTATTAATCTAATCCGAATAGCAATCAGAGTCGCTCTTGTACCACTGGAGGGAGCCCAAGTACACGTACATAGTTTGACAACCACCAATATAGAAACGATTCATATGTCGATATTGGACATGAATTATCCAGTTAGTATATCTAAGATGTATTTATATATATATAAAAGAGTCAAATTTAAAATGATTATATTGAGATCTGGTTCGTGTGTGGTCCATTTTACTTTTATTAAATTTAACATATTAAAGAGCAGATCCAGGTGATGTAAAGACACCACAATTTAATTTCTTTCCTTTTTTAAAACTGTTTTTACAATTTGATTACATTTTAACTAACTTTTTTAAGTTTTTAAATGTAAATTTTGACTATAGTAAAGTTGTTCTCCAATTCACCAATTATTTCAAACAACTGCTCGGTTTCTTCAGGTTCATTTTTACACACTGCTGTTTAGATCTCACCTGAGAACCGGAACACTCTCCCTCCAAGGCCGCACTGCTTCACCCTTTGACCCTGAAACAGCCCGTAGCTCAGCTCGCCCACGAACTTGTCCAGTTCTGCTCCAGACGCGTTCACCAGCTCGGCTCCGGTCCGGCACAGCGCGGTTCCGTTGACCCACAGCGGCAGACCACAGGCCACAGCGGTGGCGAGCGCACAACAGAAACCCAGGAGGCCGGAGGCGGAGAAGATGAGCCGTTTCTGAAGGGACGGAGTCATGATTGAGGAGCAGCTAGGATTATCGACGGGACGCTGCCCGGCTGTGGGACTCAGGAGCCGGGGAGGTGGTGCAGGAGGAGTCTCCCACCGTCAGCCCTCACCCTTTCTCCCTTTCCCCCTTTCTCCCTTTCCCCCTTTCCCACAGTAGCAGATAAATTGTTGAGCGGAGCTCCGGGTCATTAAAGTTCTGTAGTTCATCTGAACAGACAGCTTCTGTCTCCATGGTGATAAAGGTCAAGTTACACACGGGTGACGGGCGAGCAGAGGGCGTGGCTTGATCTACGTCACATACTTCCAGGTAACAAACACACACGTTTTACATTTTTGTGGTAATCAGTCATCGGTAGAGTGACCACCTGTCCCACTTTACGTTGTATTTCAATTTTAGCCTTTAATTTTAATTTAGCCACGCAAATTAAACATTTTGTCCCACTTTTTCATTCGACATTATTAATTGAAAATAAACTATTTTCTGTGGCTGGCTGTCTGTGGACACGGCTATCAGTACAGTCCACAGGCCGAGTGGCCTGTCAACCAAACTGCTGATTTACAAAACATGCATTCAATCATAATACAGATACACATTTAAAAACGATGTCAATCTTGTCTGTAATAAGAAATGATTAAAGGTTGACATATACACTTTTTTGAATGAGCAGTATCATTATTCGTCATTATTTAAATTATAATTTCTAATTTGGTTTTCTTCAGTCGAAATATATCTACTTTATTCATGTTCCACAAGGGCAGTTTAGCGTAGGGACACATTTTATGATGAAATCTGGTCTGGTAATGCGGTCGGTTGTTCGGTTTAGCTCCACCAACGAGGTCCGGCCATTAGGTTGTCTGCACGATTCGCCCTCCGGTGGCTCAAACGTGCAACTGCATATATAAACAAGTTCCCTCCAAAAGGTCGTCCACTCTAAGTGTGGTTGTATGCTTGAGCCAATTGGTTTTCGCCCTCTTGTGGCTCAAACCTGCAACTTCACACATAGACGTTTTGGCCGGACCTCGTTTTTTGATTTAGGTAAACTGAAACTAAATTAAAAACCTTCCACAAACCTTACAAAGTTGTTAAAAAAAACACAGAATACGTCCACAATGAACACAACAACAACGACTTTTTACTCTTTTAATAGCAAAAGATTCACATTTAGAAAACATGCATTCAATCATAAAGTTCATAGATCCACATCTTAAAACGATGTCAATATTGTCTGTACTGGATTTGTCCAGTTGATGTGCCACTCACTCTTTACTCAATACCTGTGAAAGGCTTAAATCCTAAGTCCTTCAGTGCTCCACACTGAAGGACCACTGCGCCTTCATAATAATAATAATAACTTAACATTTCATG